TTAGAAGTGGGCAAATGTGAAATTAAACACTATATATATATATATATATATATATATAATCTTCTGAAGTCCTTGCACTCAGACTGATTACTTTAGTTAAATGCCGGATGCATATACAGCCATAGCCACTATATAAAAATGTAAAATAACGGCTTGCACTCACGGTCTTTGACGTCAAATAAAGTTCCTTTATTGAAAATATTCCATAAAAAAGATCGATGTTTCAGCCCTCGTCCCTTTATTGAAAATATTCCATAAAAAAGATCGACGTTTCAGCCCTCGTCCAGGGCTTTCCTCAGGATCAACATAATCCTGAGGAAACCCCCGGACGAGGGCTGAAACGTCGATCTTTTTTATGGAATAGTTTTAAAAAAGGACCTTTATTTTTTTTTAAAGTCACATTGTCTGCCAGGCTGTCCTTTACATATCAGCAGCACCGATCCACACATATTTAGGTAGATAGAATAATGCATTAAATAGTTTAGGGATAATACATAATTAATACTTATAAATATAATAATATACTTACATACCCATCAGTAATAATTTGGTTGTGGTTTCTTCCATTTTTACGTAGAGGGCACAAGGAGTTCCTTGGCCCCATTCCCCAGTTGCCAAAGAGTTTGCCATCTTATCTGAGGCCTCTTGTGATGCCAGGTGGCTCATATCCAGATGCTGATTCCACCAGTCATTGAAACGCTACACATACAGGGTCTTTGCACCATGTCCACTTCAAAACACCGAAGTGGTAATGGCACTTGAAGTAACCCTTTACACTCTCAGATCTGTATTTCTGCACACTATGCATTAAAGGAACACTCCAGACACCATAACATCATAGGAATTAAGTTGGCTTGGTGCCAGGAGTTCCCTGGCTCTTTGTTCCAGTGCCGAATCTCCCTCCATTTCGGTCCTTCCATTTTCTAAAAATCTCTACACTGGAAGGCTCTTGCAGAATCAGGCAGCTGACACTCCCAGCCAATCAGTGAACCCCATTCAGAAAACTGAAATGAAAAGAAACTTACCTTTTTCAAGCCAGTATGAATGGGGATGCACTGATTGGCTGAAAGAGTCAGCTGACCGATGCCCAACTCTGGTTGGCACTAATTAGCTGAGAGAGTCAGTGCCACTGCCCAATTCTGCTGTAAGAGTCTTCCAGGTTAGAGATTCTTACAAAACAGAACGACAGAGAGGCAGGGAGATTTGGGGCTGGAACAAAGACTTTGAAGTTGAACCGAGAACCGTTTAACCACTTCAGGGGAGACGGCCTGGCACCACAACAACTTCATTTCAATTACATTGTTATGATTCCTAAACTGATCCATTAACCCGATAACACATTACTGATTGTCACTAATAAATAATGTTCCACCACACATAATGCAATACAATATAAAGAATACAAAAAAAACTGAATCTTACCGATTGAGGGCAAATGCATAATGAAACTTTATGTTGTGCTGATCTGCCAAATCACAGGTTGGCAACATTTCAAGAGTTTCCACTAGTCTGACCATAGCATTATAGTCCTGAATATAAACAGAAATATATTTTTTAAGATCTACAGTTACTTTGTAGATGTTATTTTCTTTGCTTTATAGCTTTACAAAATTAAACATTTTGGGGACAGTTTTTGAACCATGACACTGGCTGCTTGCAACTAATTCCCCCATCGTCTGAAAATACATTCTCCTGTTTTAGAATGATGATTATCAATTGAACATTTTTAAGTTAAGAATCGCTTTACATAAATGTAGCTAACCCTTTTAGTTGCCCACCCTACAAAAAAATATTTTTATTTAAAAAAAAAAAACTTATTTCAAGATGGAAACTTATTTTACTGCCTTCCGTTATTCACACTGATTTAAGTCAAAGTATGTAAAGAATATCCTAACATATGTCATATTAAAGAATGTTTTATAAGTTTTTGTCACTGCCAGTACTCTTACCTGGATATCTCTGTATGAAAGAAGCAGGTTAATAACTATATCTGATGTAAGAAGCTCTGTGTTGTCCATACGTAATTTAATACGTGTTAGCTCTTTGGCAAGTTCATCTCCTTGGTATTTGTCTCTGGCCTTCCTGATGTCATTGAGTAAAGTTTCCTTGTAGTAAGCGCTAGAACAAAAGAAAACGTACATAAACCATCGCACTAAATATTAAATACTAGTTCACTAAAGGCCCATTGCCAATCCTTACTCCTTTACAATGCAATGAAAGCGTGATCCATTCAGTAATCACTGCAGTTATGATCCCCAAACCAGCCACTTTCTTAAAGGGACGCTCCAGACCCCTAAAGCACTTTAGCAAACTGAAAGCATAACTAACTGAGATTTTTATCAGTTTGGCAATTCTGATCTTAAATATAAAGATTCACTTTGAATTCACCATAAATTCTCACTTAATTGATGAACTCTGTATATCTTCTGAAATGTATCGGTTTCTTATTGTGCATTGCTTAACTTGTATGTATTATGTTACATTATGATTCTCACACCCTTTGTTTATGATTTTCATTGTGCTGGATGACGTATAATGGATGAATTGATTCAAAGGCTGTTCATTGCTGGAGAAATAGTCCTATAAACCATCTTTGTTTGATTATCTAATGTGCTTGTAATTTGTTCTCAAACAGAATAAAAAAATAAATTTGATAAGATTTCATTTTAACTCAACACCATCCATTATGTACACATATCTTCCATTAAACAAATAATTTCTCCTGATCAATCTGTAATTACCAGGAAAGATGTTTAATTTAGGACGGTACATTTTATTTAAGTGGTTCTAAAATTTGGGTGGTATAATAAAATATTGCCTTGATGCTGTGAAAGCTGAATACTAAGAAAATGAATATGCTGCTCTTGAAGATACCAGTTCATATCACTATGATTTAGGCAGAGTGATAAATGTAATCTATAACTAGCAGAGTAAATACCTGCCTACAGCCATATATCCAGTAGGGGGCATCAGTTTTCAGCAATTATAATGTACCTTTTAGTATCATGATGCGGCACGGTCATGCCGAACTTACGTTTCTTTAATTGATTCCTCTTCTCTCCCTATGTCAGGATCTGTTCTTCATTTCTTCCGGTCTACTCTAGTTTTCTTTAAAACATAAGACAAAGTAGGGACTACTTTGTCTTATGGAGCCTGACCATCTATGACCAGCGGAGGAACAAAGTGTGCTCCATTTCCGGTGGTCAGAGCAATTTTCCCTCAATTCTCATCTTTCCTCCGTGATCTCGCAATGCTTCCTGTCAATATTCCTGAACGTCCTGTCACTTAGACAGAACACCGACGAAATTACCGAATTTCATCCTAATAGAATGGGAACAGTTTGTTCATTCATGTTAAGACGCGATTCGGGACTTTGTTCATATCGGAATTTCATTCTAATGAATGAAACTCTGATCCTATTCTTGCAGCCGCTTAGTAGATAGTTCCCTAATTCCCACGGTATCCGGGAGCTATCTACCAAAAGGCTGGAAGACCTAAATTGGTCTTTCAGACAAATTTTACTAATACTAAGTATAGATTACTTAGTAAGTCAGAGTGCTCTGACAGGTAAATGAAGAGACTGACAGGTAAGTCTTTAAATTTACCTGTCACAGTACTCTGATTGGATGGCTTGAAATCCAACCAATCAGAGTACTCTGTGTAATTTTACAAAGCGTGGGAAAGTTCTTTGTAATTTTCCCATGCTGTGTAATTTGACTCACAACCTGCTGCTTGGTTGTTTAGTAAATTTGGCTAAAAGATCAATTTAGGTCTTTCAGCCTTTTGGTAGATAGCTCCTTAATACCTTGGGAATTATGGAGTTCTCTACTAAGTGGCTGCAAGATGCAGCCGCGGCATGAATCAGATCAGAATTTCATTAATTAGTGTGAAATTTCAAACCAACTTAAAAGTACCGAATGTCGTCCTAACATGAATGAACAAACTGTTCTCATTCTGTTAGGACAAAATTTGGTAGTTTTGCCGGCGTTCTGTCTAAGTGACAGGACGTTCGGGAATACTGACAGGAAGCATCACAAGATCATGGAGGAAAGGTGGGAATTTTGGGAAAATTGCTCTGACCATCGGAAATGGAGCACACTGTGTTCCTCCGCTGGTCATAGATGGTCAGGTGTAGGAAACCTCCATAAACAAAGTAGTCCCTAATTTGTCTTATGTTTTAAAGAAAACTAGAGCAGACAGGAAGAAATGAATAACAGATCCTGACAGAGGGAGAGAAGAGGAATCGATTAGAAAGGTTAGTTCGACATGACAGTGCCACTTTAAAGGACATCTGTCATCAAATATTCACTTCTTGTTTTTTGTTTTTCAAGTTTTAATACATTTAGTGACACATATTAATATGCTTGTTAAAAAGATGTGTATTGATTTATTTTATTATTTTTTTCCGAAAATGTAGCTTTTTTTTCTGTACAGCCTTGTTGGGTCAAACTCTACTGTTATTTAATTAACTGCTTCACTGTGTGAAACCGTGTGAAACTGCAGCAGAGGACAAGTTAGTCTGAGCAGCAGTTAGTCAGATAACAGTAGAGGCTGATCCAACATGGTTGCTCAGATAGACAAAAAAATAAGATTTTCTCAGAAAATGAATATACATCATCTGAAAAATATTTTATTAAGTTTAGTTAAATGTAATAAAACATTTTTAAAGTGTCCTCTGTGGTTCAGTCTGCTTTATATACTTGATAGTAGAGCTGCAGGATCATTTATAAGGTGTAAAACTCAGTGCTGTGTATGAGGCTGGACAGGAAGAAGAAGAGATCACTTCCCATTTGCCCACTAACAGCCTCTCACACCGGAAATACATTGCAGGAAGAGTAGGGACAGCACTGAGTGATACACAATGTAGAATAGATCATGCAGTTATACTCTCAATTACAAGAGGGTAAGTACGTTTCAAATGATCCTTCAAACTCCACATGCTTGGTGCATCCCTTTTATAGAGATCTATCCTCAAAACTGCTTCATTTTGTGAATGTTGTTTTGAAGACTATAGTATCCCTTTAAATTTAGTGTTAGGACACTAAATTTAAAGGGGTACTATAGTCACCAAAACAGCTTTCACAAAACAAAAGTTACGCTAAAGTTGTTTTTGTGACCATAGTGTCCATTTATCCCCTCCCAAAAACTAAACATATGCCTTTCCTTGGTCCCAATTTTTATCACTATACAGCCTAAACCTGTAAAAAAAACAAAAACTTTAAAGGGACACTATAGTCACCAGAACAACTACAGCTTATTTTATTCGTTCTGGTGAGTATATTCATTCCCTTCAGGCTTTTTGAAGTAAAACACTATTTTTAGAGAAAATACAGTATTTAAATTACAGCCTAGGGATACTTCCATTGGCAACTTGTCAGATGGCTACTAGAGGTGCTTCCTGGGGCAGTGCTGCACACTGTGCAGCAGTGCCATTCAGTGTCTCCACCCTCTGCCTGGAAACACTGATCTTTCCTCATAGAGATGCATTGATTCAATTAATGAGGATATGCTGAAGGGCAAGGACTATGTCTGGCTTGTGTTGGCTCTGCCCATGATCTGCCTCATTGACAGTCTCAACCAATCCAATGCTTTCCTATGAAAAAGCATTTGTCATTGGCTCAGATCAACACTTCTGATTATGTCAGCCAAGCAGGCAGATCAGGGGCAGAGCCAGCAGCAGCAGACTGCAATAAAGTTAAGATTTTACTATATTTAAGCGGATAGAGGGGGGACAACGCAAGGAGACTAGATGGTATTTTTTTAACACTACAGGGTCAGGAATAAAGGTTTGTGTTCCTGACCCTACAGTGTTCCTTTAATCTTGAATTTAACTCTTCTGAAATATTAACCACTCCGTGTACTCCATTACTAAATTCATTACATCTCTAACCCTATACTCAGTTATCCTAAACATCCCCTGTATCCAAAAATACTAAATGCAATCCCATTCTTTAACCAAATAATCCTAAATATCCCTTATACCACTACTATAAGCTTCCTTAAACTGTTTTCAGCTGCAGGGTTAAGGGGGCAGCGACACTGCACCCAGACGACTTCAATGAGATAGAGGGGTCTGGGTGCCTATATTGTCCCTTTAAACTCACTTTATGGGCTATTTCTTTTATTTCTTTTCTGGGGTGGAAGAGAAACAGAAGGCACCATAGAATTCTGGGCCTACAGGCACTCAAAATGTGTATCAGGCTCTGGTTAGGATATCATCTAATTTAAAAAAAATAAATAAAAAAAAACTCACAAAAGTCTCACTAGCCCCTAACCCCAGGTTATCAGTACAAAATGTACAGATTGAACTGTATTCCCCGTAAATCCCCATAAATGTTGGTGACTTGTTCCCATCAACAGCCTAATGTGCTAAGATTAGAACTCTTATCTTATTGGTCACATGTCTGATACAGTAACTTACCATGATGTAACATGGATGTCCTTAAGTAAGCTTATAAATTTGTCAGCCAGAGGAGCACACAGTGGTCCTAAGAGACTGTCCCAATTTGGCTGCATGTATTCTGAGGCTCTTCTCTGAGCATCACTTTCACAACAAAAATAGTCTCCGCAAGGTGTTACGATGTATGATATGAAGTAATAATTACCACTGGAAGCCTGAAAAAGAAATTACAACACAGTTCGATCTGAAATCATGGAGGCATATGTTTAAATTCTACAACTGGTGCTTTAAGTAGTTATTCCATCTCATCAACTATAATAATTTCCTGCACTAAATTTAGAAAATTTATCTTCAGATTATTTATCTGACTGCATTATATAACTTTAATTAATACCTATGTGGTTATTTTATAGGGTGATTTTTCTGAATACTCCTGCACAGTGCATATAATTTAGGACAAAATAGCTTAACTGTATAAATGGAGAAGCGGATGAACTCAGACTCAACAATTTTAAATTATATTTAAGAAATCAAGTTTTAATGTGCTTCAACTTGCTCATTAGCATACAAGGTCTGTCCAGAAAATAACCAGCCATGTAATATGAAAAAAGAGATATTTATTGAAGAAGATACAAGAAACATTGTATGTAGGACAATGACGCCTCAGTCCCCTTAAAAGTAGGCATCTTGGGACCTCTCATTTCTACCAGCGTCTCTTCCACTGTTCCCTTTGCAAATCCTTTGTTGGAGTAGCCATCAGCTGCCTTGTCGTATTTACCTGAATCTCATCGATAGTCTAAAATCTTTTCCCTTTCAAAGGTGATTTTAGTTTTGTGAAATTTTTTTTTTTTCGCAGGGCACCAAGTCTTTCAACAGATTCTCTACCATATTTGAATTGTTTGTGCCAAACTTTTACTTATGCTGCACTCATTGCATCAGCCCCAAAAGCCTTCTGAATCCTCCAAATAGTTTCTGAGGAGGAATGTTCAACCTTAACGCAAAATTTGATGCAGATTCATTGCTCTACTCGCTGAGTTACGTTCCAGTCCACTCTCCTTGGCTACCTGGTTACATCAATGTCGCGCAAACCATTCTTGTTATATTAACAATGGCTGGACTTTTTCAGGACTGACCCTGCATGTCAATTCACTAAAAACTTAGCAAATGCAAAAAAATTGTCAAAATTAAATTTAGTGCATAGCAAATAACTGAATCCCTGTATAATTTCACAGTATTTTCGCAATCGAAAAAGCGCACTGGACATGATCTGTGAAATTATCAAACTGATTATGCTTAGTAATAAACCACACAGATGTTTTTTTCTAAGTCTGCTATTATAACCCAATTTTCAAAAATCATTACTGATTGAAATAATCCCTTTTTTTATGTTCTTTTATTTTTTTTTCATAATGTAACACAGATAATCCAGGGAAGTTGAGCAATTTCACGGTTACAGTAAAAATATAAAAATGTCGCAGAGTACCACATTAATTAGTTGCAGGAAACTAGCAGCCAGTGCTCGCGGCTTCAGTAAACTTCTTTAATCAGGGCATGTAATCTTCAATTCCCGAAGTCACGCTCAGTGCTCAAGTTCATTCGAGCAGAGCACTTATGACGTTTAGTTTGTGTTTAACTAAATTTGGAATTATTTACTTCTATGCTTCATCTAGCCACTATACAGAAATTCAAAATATGCTACAGTGATAGGGGGGGAATAAATTAAACATAAAATAAAAAAGGAGCAATGCAGGGTCAGTTATTTATTTAAAATTGAAAATATGTTTTTACTTAGTTTTATCAAGCAGTAACGATTTCCACTCAGCTCTAATGTATGCCCCCACTGTGAATAAAATAAGAAATACTTTCATTCGCAAAGACACATCAAGTGTAAATTATCTCTTACAACAAGCATGAACAGCATCCCAACCATCCTAACACATGGCTGTCTCGCAAGCTGCGTTGGGAACTGGAAAAGAGCCACGTAAAAGCATCATATTCTTACTATATCATACTCCCAAAAACGTCAAAAGGACAAAGCGGGACACGTGTTTAAGGGGGTATGAGTGGTACGGGTGGCTAAGGGGTGGGACACGATTATGAACTTTTAGATCACTTCATAATCTACAATGAAACCACAAGTATTTTATTTATACAAGCTAACAAATTGCAGTTTAAAGTTGTGATTATTGAAAACATTAAGGCCATGGAACACTTTAAGAACGCAGGCATTTGTGAACTTCTGATCCACAGCAAAACCTAGAATTTGTGCTGATTGTTTCATCATAATTTAAGGGTTTCTCTTTGACTGCAGCCACACATATTATATATTGTTTGTTTAAAGGACAGAAATTGCATATCCTACATGTTTACCTAACACAACATAAAATACTAAACATAAGGGGGGGGATTTAAAAAAAAAAAAGTTTTGTGAAAATATGTTTAAAGCATCAAGTGCAAAATATTCAAAATTGATGTATGTTTCAGCCCTAATTGTTAAATGCCTCATATCTCATATCCCTCAGCTTACATTAACACTAACTGTATCCTAACCTTAAAGGAACACTATAGGATCAGGAACACAAACCTTTATCCTGACCCTATAGTGTTAAAAAAACCACCATCTAGCCCCCCTGATCTGATCTTCCATCCCCCCTAAATATAACAGAATCTTACTTCTATGTCAGTCTGCTGGTGCTGGCTTTGCCCCTGATCTGTCTGCTTGGCTGATATTAAAAGAAGTGATGTTCTGAGCCAATCACAATGCTTTCCCATAGGCTGTTAAGGAAGCAGACGGGGGCAGAGCCAGCATAAGCCAAACACAGTTCTGGCCAATCAGCATCTTCTCATAGAAATGAATTGATACAATGTATCTCTATGAGGAATGTTCAGTGTCTGCATGCATAGGGTGGAGACCCTGAATGGCAGTGCTCTCACATTGTGCAACACTGTCTCAGGAAGGCAGTAGCCATCTGAGGAATGGCCAGTGGAGATATCACCAGGCTGTAATGTAAACACTGCATTTTCTCTGAAAAGACAGGGTTTACTTCAAACAGCCCAAAGGGGATGATTATAATCACCAGAACAAATACAATAAGCTGTAGTTGTTCTGGTAACTATAGTGTCCCTTTAGCCCTACACTATCCCATACCCAGCATTAATCCATACTCTACACTAACTCTATCCCTTCGCCAACCCTACCCCTAACTTAGAGGGTCCTGACATCAGCAGAGGGATTTCCCAGCTAATTCTGTGAGCGCTCTATACTGTAAGCAGTATAGAGAGGACGATCTCTCTCTTACTTGCTGTAGCTTCTATGCTGTCCATGCAAATAACATAGTGATCATAGTCTACAAGTGGCATGCAGGAAGACCCTATAAGGGTCTTTTCAGATCTCAGGGTCTCCATTTGTCTGGAGGCAAGCTGATAATGAGTGCAGCTGAATGCAATCTCTCTGCATGTAAGTGGAATAAAGGGCTAAATGCAGCACTTACTTTGAGCACTGCAAACAGCTCATGAGTCAGTGTCTCCCCAGTGTGACAGCATGAAGTCACCCATGGTAATCAATTTGTTCTGCCAATCTAAGGCTTCTCTTTGAGAGGCACTGACACTCATGCTTCTGTAGCAGAACTGAAAGTGTTTGGCATCAAAATGCTGGGCATGATTATTCTAAG